TCAAAATTCACCTTGCTTTTTGATCACACCTCGTACTACCAAATGCAAATTTGGCTTGGTTTTGAATTAGATCCAGTATTATGGGGATGGAAAAGAACGAGTAATATGATGATATCTATAATGAACACAGAACCAGTTGCACCTAAAGGGTTACTAGAGCTGGTGAGTAATATTAGATTATCCAGAAATAAAATATATAAAGTACGGGGACTCAATGTCGGACACTTAAGCGCGAATAGACATAACTTTTGACCGAAAGAGAATTTTTAATTACGTATGATCTCATTTGAAAGCTATTTATAAGAGAAAATGAGCCTCCGCATAATCAATTCGGAGAAGGTCAGCTCGAGCTATTGCTCTTTTAAATAGACTACATTTTTTCGATACAAAAATGTTGAGGGTACCCAATATCGTACATTGATGAATAAAGTATTTTTGAAATTGAAAATCGTGTGTAAATCCTGAAAATTGCTTTCAATATCAATTCCTGTTATACTGAAAGATGTAAGCGATCGAAAAAATATAATTATAATTTATAACATCGGATTATGGTGAAAAAGGTATTTTTGAAATTGAAAATTACGTCTAAAACATGAAAATGGCTTCAAATATCAATTTCTATTAGTCTTAAAGGTGTAAGGAAATGAAAAAGTATAATTATAACTCGTTTATACTGATGCTTTGTAATGTCCGGTATTTGAAAATGTATTTTGAAAGATGCATTTTAAAGGACGGGAGAAGCCTAATCAAATGATATATGACCCCTGATAAGTAAAGTTATTAGAACGTCTAGAATCGGAGATAGTCTGCTAAGGAGATTTAGAAGACTCCAGAAATTCGCTGCTCTCGAGCACAAAATAGGTTCTAGAAATCGGAATTGGTGTTCCGGACTGATTTTAATGTATGGAAATTTCATAAATTAACACTATAAACATAATTTATGAGCTTCGAGCGGTCATTTAGTGCATGAATTCGAGATTCGATAGATAGCCGATATTGAGTAATGTCCGATATTGGGTCCTCGTACCTTAAATTTGATTATATTTTTATTCCAAAGAGCTTTTAGATTAATTATTTTTTAGGTGCCCGGAATAATAATCCAAAATTATACATTAATATAATTGTTATCGAGATAAAAAAATTAATCATTAATTTCATTTCTAGGTATTCTGTGGATGTAAAACAAATTGTAATACGTTTCGGTGCTCGTGCAAAAAAGCTAGAATAAAATGTAGCTACAGTTGCACAAATTGTAACGGCCAAATTTGTGAAAATGCAGCCAATACTAGCAAAGTTATATTAGAAACTGACATAGAAGAGCAAGAACATGAAATCGAGGAAACTAATGAGGATATATTCGATAATGAAGAAAATATTGCGCAAAAAGAAAATTTTAACGAGTCAGAAATTGATGAATGAAAAATTATACTGCACATTCTAATTTATTTTAATTATTATATTAAATTATATATTTATGTAATGTTCGAAAAATATTTTTCATTATTATAATATTTTAGCATATTCAATAATTTTATAATAAGTTCTTGTTTTTGATCAAATTGTTAATATAATTAAAATGTATGAAACACAAATCAAAAATAAAATTCTGTGGATACGTCCAATACAGCCATTAACGCCCACAGAACGGTCCTTCATTCATTTTTTAAAATTCACTTTTCGTTTTAAAATATAGAATTTTTTTTATTAATTTTCGAGTTTTTTTGCGAAATTCCTAACCAAAGCCATTAGAACGTGCATTCTTAAAAACTTAGGAATTTCGGGTTCCTGATTTTTTTTTGTTTCAATTCATTACATAACAGTAACTCAAAGTTAGCATTCGAAAAACAGTCCTGTGGGCGTCAATGGTTTAAACAATCTTTCATTAACAAAATTATTTATTTATGAATTATTCTCAAATTAAAAAGGATTAATATCGATTCACATTTTGTTCTTTAAAAGTTGATCAAACTGATAAAAAAGTTTTAAATACATATTTATATATTAAATATTTATCCATGTTCAAATAACAATGCTTATCTCATTGCTAGGACTGAAAATTTTATATACGGTAATTAAGTAAACATTGCAAATGTAATTTTGTAGTAATTTTCAGGTACAAGTCAGCTAAATATGGAAATACAACTTTCTAAGTAATTTTTTTTCAATAATTAAAACTTATAAAATATAAGTATACTATCAAAGTGATGGTACGCTTTAGCTACCTCGGCTATCGTCACATGTCATTTAAGTGATATGGATGTTACATATGTTCATTAAGAAGAGGTGGGGCTTACGTTAAACTAATTCGTTTAAGTACTTGTGATGAGAGTATTTTTCAGATTAGTTGCAAAGAGAGAATCCTAAAAGATCATAATAAGACTTGTTTCCGATTACCGCTCCATCGCCGGCCACCAAATATCGAAAATGAATTCAAGCGCGCGTACATGCACGTTTCCCCTCTTCAGCTGCTATAGGCCGACGATTGCCGAGTATCGTCGACTGTCTGCGCACGCTTGGAGGGGCGGAGGAGGAGAGCGAAACTATACCGCGCCTTTCCCAACCTTCCCCTTCTACCTTATTCACGTAAAATTTTTTATTTTTAATTTTTATCCCAACATTTTCCACTCATCGATGTCGGGTTAAACATTGTTTCTGATGTAAAATTTCACGCTCTTTCGATTAGTGCATGTTATTTTGTCGTACGTTCAGCCGTTCGCGAGATACAGGCGAAAACAAGTTTCAAACGTGATTTTCTCATAGAACCCCTGGACCTAGAACTATGCAAATTTCAGAATCGTCTTTTTCGACCTCAATTTACCATATATAAAAAATGCATTCACTTCCGTGACAAAAACATTTCAGGCCTATTTTTACTGGACTATAAGGTCCCGGTCATATAGGTACACCCAACGTGGATTGAATCGCGACCCCCCCCAGTTAGGTTGGTATGAGAATTCCGTCGTTGCATTGAACGAAGAAACCGCGGGAAAATTCAAAAATGAAAATTCGTTTTAAGATACGATAAAAAGCTAAAACGTTACTAATTTGTTTTTAGGTTTAAAATTAATTGTTTGCCGAACAATGAATTTAGATGCATGATTATTTGATTTTAGGTTTTAATTATATAATTTAAGAACGAGCATTATACTATGACCGATCTGAAAACCACCGTTACGGACTGAAAGTAGCACTCATAGTCTCATACCAACCTAACTGGGGGGGTCGCGATTCAATCCACGTTGGGTGTACATACGGATGCAGACGGATACGGACGCGAATCGCAACTCTAGTAACATCACTAAAAATATCTAGTTCAATTATTTAGTACCAACACTACCGGTAGTGAGCTAAAGTTACTGTTGTTTAAAACTGTTGCGCCGAACGTACTACATTTAATGAACGCTTATCTAACCTTTACATTATTGCAGTCTATAAGATGGTAAATGATAGAGAATTGATAGACTTTTAACTACAATTAGTGGAATTAGGCCTTAATTTTATGGAAGTACTTGAATATATGAGAAGAAGAAGAAAATATATATAAATGATATGTATTAATCATCCCAAAAGCTTTTTTTACATTAGCATACTCATTAATAAGCAATATTCATGAGAATTTGAAAAGTAAATTGTAGACCTGATATTTGAACATAAATGTGGTACGTTCGGCGCTACAGTTTTAAACAAGTTACTTTTGCTCACTACCGGTAGTGTTGGTACTAAATAATCGAACTAGATATTTTTAGTGATGTTACTAGTGTTGCGATTCGCGTCCGTATCCGTCCGCATCCGTACACGTATCTATGGGACCGGGGCCTAAAAAATCGTATCAGCCTAAAAGTCTGGCAGTGCAGGACAGTGAGTAGTTCCAAGCAAGCAAGGTTTATGAGTGTGGCACGGCCTAGAAGGTTCTTCCAAACCATGTTTCTACACAGAGAAACACTAAGAGTGGACCTAGCCAAATCTTCCAACCCGTGTTTCGTGTATCAAAAAGAAAAATAAATAAAGCAAGTAATTTCATTTACAAAGAAAGTTTTCCTATCAATACACATTTTCCTCTATTTTCGCGTGATAGCGGCTCTTCTATCTACTTTTATGATAACTAAGAGCCTGTTAGGAAACCAACATGTCCCGTACCGTATTTTTTTATACGATGTGTGGAAAGAGCGTTTTTCCCGCACGCTCGGAAAAAACGTGCGTTGAAAATCGCACTTTCCACACATCATATCAAAAAATACGTTCCCGCACTTGTATCGTAATATACTATAAAAGCCCTACCGATTTATTATCCTTTCCTTGTTAGTATATTGCAATTTATTTGCAAGCTCTGTCAACTCCTTCATAACTTTAGCTTAGCAGCGGATAGCTATTATATTTCTCACAATACTTTTCTCGTTCTCAGTTCACGATGCGCAAGCATCAAACCAAAAAATACATAGAGAAAAGGCCGAGTAACATCTTTTCGGACGTTACATTAGTCTTCAAAATAAATTAATTTTTAATATTAATTGTTACATGGTAATATTTTTTTATAGGTCAAATCTGAAAACAAATAGCTACATGGCTATCATTACCAGAACCTGGGTAATATACAGTTTGCGAAGAACACCAGCAACTTTATTGGTCGCCCTCGTGAAAATAGAGCAGTACATGATTTTCGATGTGAAATTTTGCCCTCTACACGATGACGTATTTTTTTTCTACTGAATCGAGCCATTTCCGAGTAAATCGTAAAAATTATTTAAATTTTCCATTTGCCCTGAATTTAGAGAAACAATAATTGCAGAATCTAATTACTGAGAGTTTAAAACTTCTTGGCAACACATTAATGACAGTTCTGCAACACTTTTTCTATTCAGACCCCTATTTGACTGGACTAAATAATGAAGCGATGACGTGATCCAAAGAGATGTTATTCTAACTTAAAAGTGGCTCTGATAAGACTGTTTTGTCTATGATTACATGGAAATGCTTGAATTACATTCAGATCGTAATCTTACCCATGTGAAACGTTAATAACTGGAGTTACAGTAGCACTAAGTACTTCTAGAGGACAAATTCCACGGTTGATCCTCATGCCTACAGGAATAGTCTGAAAAAAGACGTTGACATAAATGTTTTACTTCGAGAAAATCAAATTATCTATTTAAAATTACCTTTTAAAAAAAATAATGTTGAAATTTTGTAATATTATTCTACCTTATAATTCTTTTACAAAAAGCAGAGCCAAATAATTTTCTAAATAAATATCGCTAACATAGCAGGTGGACCAGCCCACATAGCTACCATTTCATTTGCAACTTAAGATAATCGAAACGATGACAACTGTTGATTTTTATAAAAGCTCTAAAATTTGTAATTTTTTTATTTTCGTTAAGAAATGCGCAGCTTGCTACAGTCTTACTTTGTAATAGCAATATTCATTTTCAATCGTGGCAATAAGTACTAATCTCGTTGCCGGTGTTGCATGATTATTCAAAACATCGATAGCTTTTTGATCTGTCGTCTCTTTCATGTCGTAATTAGTATCGCCATTGATAATCTAGTTGTTCAATTTGAACAGCTAGGATTAGTATCATTTTAGGATCTAAACGAATTTATAATATATAAGATTCGCTATAATTAATACATTAAAAATTGTAATTTATTGTGACATGTTGAACTATACTTAAAAATTGATTACTTAATTGCTGAAAGATCGATGTTTACTTTTTCGCCAGTGATTAACGGAATTTTTTTTCTCTTATTCCTTCTACTTTTACTATGACATGTTATATCTACTTTAGCAACTGTATCTTCAATCTGTAATCTATGCTTAAATGTGCTATTAGTTCTTGAATGTTAACGAAAAGAGGATCAATATAATGTCTTATTCCTTTATAGTGAATTATATCTTAGCGAATTTTCAGTTCCACTGTATTTCTGTTTTGAAAAACATTTACTATTAATAATTGTATGAATATTACCATATCTTTACAAGTTATGGTAAAGATAGCTTTTGTATAAATATTTGTACTAATCAACATTTAGGACTACAATCCAGATGCGATCTTACGTTGTGCAGCATTCACAGCTAACGATAGTTGTTTGTTAAATACCTTGAAACAAATTTACCTTAATATAGTAATTATGTAAATCTTAAAACACGTCACAGAAACAAAATACCTGTAATAGAAGTTCTTGATCTATTCTGTGCTCCAAGATTCAAATTACTAAAAGAGCATTTTTTTCTAAGAACTTCAATATACCTTGGAGACATAGTGTGCAAACTTCTTAAAGAAAAATAAAATCCAGGGTCTGGATCTCTTGGTGTAGGAGTTGGAATATTTGCCATAATTGGTGGCAAAGGAAGATGTGACGGATCAACTATTATACCATCAAACTGTTCTTCATATTTAACTATTTTTTTTAATTTTTAAAAAAATTCAAATAAGTGTTATGGTAAAGTACTATGCTGTCATTAAAAATTGAATAACAATTGATTTCATTGATCATAATTATTGGTTCAAAAATATTTTTTCGTGTATAAACCAGAGAAGTATATAGAAATTCCTTGTGATAGCAATGTGTCAGACCAATTTTACATAGAAATAAAACAGCCAAAAAAATTGCTCTGCTTTAACTATTGGGCCAATGCCTTTATTGTAATATATACTTGGTTAATAATATTAGAAGAATGCAATTAATTGGTACAGGAAAAAAAATATATGTGCAATAACTTCGAAAATGAATAAAATTTTGAGTGAAAATCAAAATCTTTTGCATATCTAGAGTTTATACAATTTGTACCACATCATCATACTACAGTCATAGCATCATCAACTGTCATCTAAAATAGAATCAAAAACATATATTTATAGAACATATTCATTATTTATTCAAATACTTACTGCTTTTCATTTCCTTAAGAAACATTTAGAAAAGAATCAAAATATTGAAATTGTGCTTTGCAGGTCATTGAGCATATTTTTTAAATTCTGCATTGCTTGACATTCAAATGTATTAATTACAGAGTGTCTTTTATTGGAATGATTGCCAATTTCACCACTGCTCTTAGATTAGATTAAAAAAATGTGTAGAATTAATTATTGATGGAAATTGTAATTATACTTTGACAAAAAACAACACTCACAATAATACTTTTCCTTTGAAAATTGATGCCTGCAAGGTTAATAATTTGATGGGCTATAAAGAATAAAAATAAGAATATAAATATAGCTGATGGTCTCTGAAATTTGAAAGAATAATGAAAATAATCTGTAATTAATAATTTATAGGTCATCTTGTTTGTATTAACTATATAAACTATAGTCACGAGCAAATTGATACTGATGGAGATAATAATAATTATGAAGACATAACTCATGTTCATAGGAAGATTTTCAGGAGACGAAAGAAGAAATTGTAGAGTAATAAAATGATATAGAATTATCAACTTGCAAGAAAAAGAAGAATCCAAAACGTAACGCTTAAAAATGTTATCTTGATTTAATTCAAGTTCTACAGTCTCTAGGATGATAGTCAAGACACTTTGTTACAAGCTATTGTTAATGTTTATCCTGATTTATTTGACGAAAATAATGAAGATATGGAATTTGAAATAATTAATGAAACAGTTTCTGTCAATTATCAAAATATTTCCTATTTTGAAACGTGGAAGCTTACCAGAAGCTTCAAAATCAGATGAAATTGATATACAAGCCAAAGTACCATTAATAAATTTTTACAATAATCGATAGATTGTATTTGGAAAATTTGAAATAAATTGATTGCAATCAGATTAAAGAATCTGGAGTTATATTTACCAAGCTTACCACAGAACTAAGTAAAACAGCTGATTCTACATTAGTAGATTTAAAAATAGTTTACAATTTGGTAAGCAGGTATTATATTACTGTATACTGGTTGTAAATCTTTTACCGTATTGAAAGGCAAACTTTCACAATTTTAATTAAATCAATTAAGTAATAATAACACTACAAATCGAGAGAAAACGAATTAAACTTTATAGCATCTTACTTTTTCTCTTTCAAACAAAACAAACTTGAAAAGCGGAATTCGGACAGGGTACAATGAAAGAACGGCCACAAGCATGCCACAAGTGTGCAACAGACGTAGATACGTTACGAATAGGAAAACAAGTTTTGCATGGATAACCGGATTTTCATCACTTATTAATTGCTTACCTGTTGGAGTGGGTTATTGCTCTGTGGATGTCCAAGTCCAACTGCCTTACCAGATGAGGTTTCTAACCATACATTAATTTGCTGTGTCGTGTAATAGGCTCGACATCTAAACTACGTTAAACTACCATTCTATATACATTGCAAACTCGAAATCGAGTGCTGGAGTTAGTTCGAGTTAGGCGTACTTGGCGCGCGCGCACATAGAGGACTAGCTATGGTAGCATAGCCTATATGGACAGCAGTATAGAACAGTGTTGAGAACAGTAGTAACAGTACCCTAGTAGTTGAGAGTCAAGGAAGCAAAGAAAATAGTTTAGCCGAAGTTCTTAGCCAGAAGCATTGATCGAGAGCAAAAGGGCAAAGACGCTAGGCAATAGTGACCGACCACTCGATAGTTAATTACTTTTCCCTGCGCGCGTATAAATTGCTTGGTAGATAGACCTGAGCCAGTTGCCAGAGTCGCGCTCAGCCTAGTACAGCCAGCGCCGCACGCGATCGCACGGAACAAGCTGAGCGAGAGAGCAGGAGCAGCCAGTGTCCCTGCCCACTTCGCCGCGTTGCCAGCCAACTTTGTGCCACCGCCGCCACCGCAGCTGACGACGACGACGACGACGACGACAGTAGCGACAAAGTAGCGAGGATTAATTTGAGAAGCAACTCCACCGTAGCAGGATGACTGAGAGAGAGGATAATGTATACAAGGCCAAGCTCGCCGAGCAGGCTGAACGTTACGACGGTGAGTCCTTTGGCACCGCAACGCAACGCTACGCAATAACCTCTCCAATTTGGTCCGCTCCCTTGTCTCCCCCCTCCCTCCGCTGCTTATACGTCGTTCTTTCTTTATTATAAAGAATAAGAACAATTTAATATTTTTGACGAACATCCATTCGACCATCTTAGGCAAAGGCAGTACGCGCGATGCTTGGTCGTGTAGTAGCTGCTGACGTGAGAAGACCTCGATCGATTGGCGCTCTCTCTCTCTCTCTCTCTCTCTCTCTCTCTCTCTCTCTCTCTCTCTCTCACACACTCTCTCTCTCTCTCTCTCTCTCTCTCTCTCTCTCTCTCTCTCTCACACTCTCTCTCTCTCTCTCTGTGACTTGCTCACAGACGGGCGCATGCTTCGCTTTCATTTTTTTATTTCCGGGATAGGCGCGTCGCACGAGATTGATCCTTGCACCCGGTTGAATGCTCGCGTGATCGACATCTTCGAAATGGTAGATCAATCGTCAGGACAGCAGAACCGGTGTTCATTCACGAGACGGATAGGAATGCATGCGTACACGCGTGACGCGCTACAGTAGAAGTTGCAAGTGGGGGAGAGAGAGCATGCAACGGCACAGAGCTGTGGAAAGATGGTCGAGTAGGAAGAGGAAAAGGTGAGCTGCCGCCGTTGAGGTGACGTGCCGTCGCCGTGACCGGACAGACACCACGCACAGGTCGAGAGAAAGAAAGAGCCAGCGAGCAAGCCTACTCAGCCTGCTTTTACGCCTTGGCCACATACACCTATGCTCCCTACCTCTCCCCTCTCTATCTTTGTCGCTCGCTCAGCGCTGCCATCAGAGTCCACATTATCTTTATCTTCTCGTAGCGACGACCAACGCCTGATTAAACGCTCCTTGTGACGAAAAACTACAATATCAGCCTATATTTTAGATTTTAGTTATTTATTTGTCATTCTACACTGGTGTAACGACGTTACAACGTAGTCTTCTTATCGGAATTACCGGCCTCTGCTATCTCACCGGTACCACGCTGCTGCAGTTTAGCTACATATGTATTCTCGGCACATCTACAATTTTGCGCTTATTTTTTTTATATTTAATTACATATATTTTTATTCTTTTATCCTACATCCATGACAATTATATTGACTTTTTCTTGCATTTCTTTTCAACTACTCTAACGTGCGTTTTTTTCCATTTTATTTAATGTAAAGTTGCAGGTATATTCCTACTTCACTCCTGGCCAGTTAAAAAAGCAGAACAAGCAAAATTCTAGTTTTTTGATGAAATTTTGTTAGTCTTTCTTACTAACTTGTAAATTGAAAAGCTTTCTAATTTTTCTGAGAGGCAAATTGTTGTTATATTTCCCGTGTTCCATCTTTTGGCTGGCACATAGAGATCCGTGGGCTTCGAAAACGTTTTGCAGGGTATAGAGGTAAACAGGGCGCCGAAAGGGGTAGGCAGCCTCACGAAAGCCAAGAGCGCCATCCCGCGAGAAAGACAGATAGAGAGCCGGGCAAAGGAAGGGAGCTTGTAACCAAAGACAAGTATTGATCTGCTTCCTCTCCCTGTTTCCCCCTCTCTTTTACTTTAACTCGTTTTCAGCGCGATTTTATAAGTTACCCGATGACTGATGCTTATTGTTTATAAATTTATCTGGAAAGTTGGTCATTGCTTCAATTACCAATGTTGATTATGAGAAAAACGGCTAACGCTGATAGTATTTTTAGACTGGTATGATTATGGTGTTCTATAGCAGTAGAGCGGAGCAAGATAGGAATGCAAAAGGCAATAACGCAGGAAATAGGGGGGAACTACTTGTAAAATGAACCGAGCAAAAATTGACTGAATCTTTTTTGGATGGATTACAGAGATGGTCGAGGCAATGAAGAAAGTGGCTTCGCTAGACATTGAATTGACAGTCGAGGAGAGGAACTTGCTGTCAGTTGCATACAAAAATGTTATCGGTGCTAGAAGAGCCTCATGGAGAATAATCTCGAGTATTGAGCAGAAGGAAGAGACCAAGGGAGCCGAAGAGAAGCTCGAAATGATTCGTCAGTACCGCTCTCAAGTCGAGAAAGAGTTAAAAGACATCTGTGCGGACATTCTGGGTGTCTTGGAGAAACATTTAATTCCGTGCGCCTCCACCGGCGAGTCCAAAGTTTTTTACTACAAAATGTAATGTCAAACAAGCTCCAACTTAAATAACTGCTTTGTTACTGGTTACTAGCACACTAAAAACACTCATTTTCTGTTTGCAGGAAAGGAGACTACCACCGCTATTTGGCCGAGTTCGCAATTGGCAACGACAGAAAGGAAGCGGCAGAGAATTCGCTAGTGGCGTATAAGGCGGCTAGTGATATTGCCATGACGGACCTGCCCCCAACTCACCCGATCCGTCTCGGATTAGCCCTCAACTTTTCGGTATTCTACTACGAAATCCTTAATAGTCCAGACAGGGCATGTCGCTTGGCCAAAGCCGCCTTTGATGATGCTATCGCTGAGTTGGACACTCTGTCTGAGGAGAGTTACAAGGATTCAACTCTCATTATGCAACTTCTCAGGGACAATCTTACTTTATGGACTTCAGATATGCAGGGAGATGGTTAATTACTAATTATATATATTTATCTGTTGTTTTCATCCTTTCTTTTTTGCTCTCTTGCTATCTACTTTTTGGCCATGTTTCTTATGAAAGCCACATCTTTGTCCTGCCTCTAAAATCAACCAGCCAAACTGCCTAACAAGCCAGTAATTACCTTTACCATCATTGAATTTGTTTGCCATGTTCCAATTTGATGTTCGCTATGGACACTACAATGGTTATTCTTCTTAACTGACCTCTTTCTCTTTCTCTAAAACTCATCTTCTACCTATTCCTACCCAATTATCCTTGTCAATATGGAATGTATTATCTCAGCCTAATGTCAACTTCTACTTTTTTGTGTGCACAGGTGAAGGAGAACAGAAAGAACAACTGCAGGATGTAGAAGATCAGGATGTATCGTAACTCTAGTTACAGTGAGTGTTGAATATGCATATGATTGGGACAAGACAACAAACTTTAATAATAACTAAGCAAAAGAAAAATTACTTCAGCAGAAAGAAGGTTGGGGTGGGAGGGGGAGTACTTTAAAATTTGCGTGGCCCTATGTACACATGTACGGTTACTCCAAAATCATCCAATCACACATGTTAAGTTATGGGACACGCAAAATTGAATACAAAAAATTATAAAAAACTAATGTAAATGACACGCACCCTGCGATATAGTGAGTTGCAAGCATTTAAGTGTGGCAGTTTTTGCCTGTTGCCCAATCAAGCACAGTGAAACAAAACAACCGAACTCTTTGAGTATTCTCCTTGCATAGTGCGTATGCCTGGATTTGCTTAAAAGCACTCGGTAGCTATTTTCTTTCTGTTTATTTCAGTCTCCCTGTACACTCTGTGACCAAGCCATTGCTCCTATGTTGCAGCCACAACGCGCTTCACGAGAAGAGAATTAGTTTTGTCAGCTGTATTGTACCAAATTTTTCTTAGAACTTTATTCTCAACAAAGTATCTCAAATTTCCTTTTCCATGACTTACATTCAAATAGAGACATTATAATCAACGGCTAGTGATGTAGCAGTTCAATTTTCAATAATTATTACATTTTGAATTTGTTTGAGTGATTGACTTGCATTTTTTGTCTTCTTGCTTAATTTTCTTCTGCCTTTTATCACCAAATGTATGTGCATATATCACTCATGCCGTTTATTAAAGTAGAAATACTAAATTATATACTTAACAGCTATCGACCATAACTTGAATTATATTGAATTTGAAGACACCTAATTTCATTACTGCGCATTTTTATTTCAACATGCAAAATTTACAGTCTATGCTAACAAATTCTAGAAACATAACGAATTTTCAATGTGTCGTAAATAGTAAGTAATAAGAAAAAGCATAAATTTTAAATATAACGTTAAAATTTCCATTTTTTTTTAATTATTGTCCAGCTAACTGTATCATCGATTAATTGATTCTTACACGAATGCATATATTGAGGATGAGAATATATTGGAATATAGTTGAAACTCTACAACAAAAGACTTTCCTAAGAATTCTTGCAGAATTGTACTAATTGAAGAATCAGGGTAGACTGAAGATTCAGCTTAACGAATTATTTCATTATTCTTTCACTGCTTTGGATAACAAATTGTGAAATTATGCTAATAATTTTGAAGGCCGAGATATTAATATTAATATTATACTAAAAAATAAACAAGAAAATATGCTAAATTTTCCTGTGTAGCGTTAATATTCGTATTGAACGTTTAGCTAAGTAGCAGGCATTTTTCGCGAATGTACGTTTGCATACGTCTCTTATTTGAAATGTATGAATAGTTATGATTTGAGAAATGACAGAATAAATGGTTCTCTGTACTTTGTTTGTCAATGTTTTCCTCTGCATTTATTTTATTTTTAACGTCAAGAAATTTTTATTTTTATTCGTTATCTTAAGAATAATTTTAATCATAGAATAAATTTATTGATAGCAATATTATGATTCAACCTAATAAACAGATGTCAATCCTAGTAACAGATGTCAATCTTTTCATCAATGAATCTTGTATCTTTTAGATCATGAAAGAAAACAAGAGAGAAATAATCTGATCTTTTAATTAACTAGAGGCGAAATTCAAGAGCTGTATTACATTTTCCAGATTGGCTCTTGTACATGCAAAAACAGAATACATTTGTTGATAATTACCTAATATGTAGAGGGATAGAAACAATTTTAAGTTCATGCCTGTATACTGCGTGTTATCCCCTGCAAATAAGTATTATATTAGTAACATTGCGTAAAATTATATATATAAGAATAACTAAAATAATTATTAATACTGCTAAGTAAGATTATTGATATTTTTAATTATAGGAAACGTCAAACAAAATAATTAAGATACATTTTTGCAATAGAATAACGTAAATAACATGAAAAAATATCATTGTATAATTGTACACGTCATGTGTTTTCAAAAGCGATTATCCTATGCTAAATTTTTGCAATAGAATAAAGTAAATAACATGAAAAAATATCATTATATAATTGTACACGTCATGTGTTTTCAAAGCGATTATCATAACCATATGAATAAATTTAAAAAACATAACACTTGAAAATTTTAGTAATAAAAAGGGCTTTCATCAAGATGTGTAGATACGTAAGATACTCTATCAAATTCTTTTGATGAAAGGAAAGTTGAAAAAAGTATTATCTTTTATATTTTGAATCTGCATTCTGATGCTCTGTATTAGAATTAATACATTATACGGAATATAACTTTTACTGTAAAGCCATTCGTGGAAATTGAAAATAAAGTGATTATAAATATCTATTATTTTGATTTGCTTTCTTTGCTTGAACTTTAATTATTTTAAACATATACTAGTGTGCCGAACATTAAATAAAATATAACCAAGGAAAATAAGACTCAAATAATATAAAAATAATTTATTCCGTACTGACTTGCAGATCTTAAATGGTTATATTATAAATATTAGGAAAAAATTCAAACTTGAAAACAAGTATAGCAATAACAATAACATTGAATTGATTTGTTTTACAAAATAATTGTCAAAAATTAAATTATCATATATCTAGTCTTCTTAGATCAAAAGATCTTTACAAGCCGTCAATATTTATTAATTTATAGCAGATTTTGAATGACAAAATGGTATGACTAACATCACTGGCGGTACTACTGGAGACAGTATATTTTTTAAAAAATCCGTTTATTTGTATCAGCATGTTTCAGTAATCGAGATAGAGAACTCTCAGCATGCAGCGCGCGTGGAGAAAGGTTGACATTCAATTGTGAACGATTTCTCGTCAAACGAGACATACTTCTTGGCGATTTATGTTGATCCAATGATCTTCGGCGGGCGGACTTCAACTTAACATTGCGCAACATATCCAAAGATATGACTGGTCCTCTTGGCCCTGGTACCATGTTTCGGCGATTTTCCTGTAAAAAGTAGATTTTTTCAATTAACTACCTATTTTCTTTTCTTTTCTTTCTTTTCTTCTGTAACATAACTATCATAATAATTACCACTGCTTTGAAATTTTGAGGAGCTTTTTTAAGTGTAACATTGAGCAAATCTTCAACAGTAATAGTTGGTCTACTGTTCAAAGATGTAGAACATTTTTTTACTGATGTATTACTGTTGAATTTCTTATTTATTGTAACTAAGTTTGTATTTTTTAATTTTGAGATAAGCATTAATGATGGTGATGGTGATGGTGGTGGTGGTGGTGGTGGTGGTGGTGGTGGTGGTGGTGGTGGTGGTGGTGGTGGTGGAGTTGAAGATAAAGATGAAGATGAAGGTGAAAGTGGAGAGTGAGGTGGAGCAACTGCAAAAGTACTACAGCATGAAGAAATTAGAGAAGGTGGAGGTACAACTGAATCTTTTCTAATTGCTGATAATTCTAATAGTGAAGTATACTTGATTTCTTGAACTTTTGTCTGCAAAGTTTTAAATTCTTTTACCAAATTATTAGTAGTTTCTGTCAGCAGAATATTAGAAGTTTGTGCCTTATTCATTTCATTTTTCAATGCTTGCAAATTTGCTTCACTGCTCATTCGAACCTAATACAAATCATTGTTATCAGATATTTTTTAAAGCATTTAACTCACAAATTTAATACCTCTGTCAGTTCTTGAGATAAAGAACACATCTTTTCTGACAATACTGATAGAATTCTTTCATTTTCACATCTAACTACAGCAACTACTTGCATCAATTCGCTATTTATTAGTGCAGATGAATTTGATGCTGTGATAATAAGTGATAGTGAATTTTTAATAGTTTTACATCCCTATAATACATGCTCATATTAAATAATATCCAAACAATTACAATAGATCAGATTCCAAAGTACCTTTTTTATCCAAATGATACATTTTTTGATTAATCTACTGCAGCATGTTTTGAGTTTAATGAAAGATGCTTTCAATTTTTTTAAAAACATATAACTTTTTATGCCAGAAGTTAAAAAAGCTATGTCAGAGACATTATTTAGTACTATTACATGCGACTCAGTCTAAAAAGTAATAAAAAAGTTCATGTAAAACATATTTTTTCTCCATTAACATAAATTTTGTAGCAGTAACTGCAATACATACTCCTAATGTTTTAATATCAACATCTGAAACTACTGGTAAATTAATACATGCTATATTTTCTAATGTAGAATCCCAGTTCTTGTCTTCATAAATGTTTGAAATATATTTTAGATTTGTGCTTTTTAGTTTTTCATTATCATTAATTTTAACGCAACAGTCATTAATAAATGATTTTCTATTACAATTTTTGTTAGATAATAAACAATCATCTTTAATATTACTAATTTTTTTTAAAAATTCATTTCCATGACCAAAATTATTCGAACAATCATTATTAGTATTAGAGTTATTCTGTATTGGTCTGCTAGCAAAAAAGTAATTCAAAGAATTGCTTCGATCTGATACTGTCAAATTGAAAGTTGATGAAGATATTTTAAAATACCTACTTAGTGATGTCATTTCTTTTCGAGGTATATCGAAAAGTTCTGAATCACTTTTACAACTCAAAGAAAATCCTTTTGTAAAATCATTAACTTTTAAAGTGGATCCTAACGTGCTTTTTTCATTTACACTTTCAAAAACTTTTTCTACTGATAATGTTTTCTTCGAATCTTTTGAATTTTTAAAATCATCTTTTTCTCTATTAGTAAAATTTTTTTTGTCTTCTATGTTATCCATATCGTCATTTTCTGGTGTGTCAAGATTGAGTTTGAATTTTGGCAATCGTATATTCATTTTTGGACTCATATCATTATAGTATCCTATCTTTTTATTCTCTAATAATTCAAATTCTGGTGTACAATCTTGAGGACCATTGATATTTTCTTTCAAATCAGAATTATAGGAAATAATTTGGGTTATTACTTGACCCATGCACTCTGACTCTAAATTTTTTTTTTCATTTGTTGAATCCAGCATTGTTATTTGAAGACTATATTTATGTCGATATTTTTTTTGCACTCTACCGCGTTTCCCCATGTCTAAACAACGTTTTCACAAAAATAACCTTCAAAAATATTTACGTAAGTATTCATTATTATAGTTTACTGTAACATTTTCCATTTTTTATAAATATTTTTTATAAATACACTTTATTGTGGATTCTTACCTTTGCTAGTTAAGCTTTCATTACATTTTGTAATTTATAAATATTTATACACATTGAGTTAATACCGAAAACTAAATGAATTTTTTCCCTGCTTAGTTTTACTTGCTACCAATTCGATAAAACCCAGGCATATACAAGTTTAGCGTTACAATCCGAGAAATGTATCACGTTATAATATTGTTCAAGGTCAGTAATGTTTGTAGAAGATGCATACCTAGATCCCAGCAGGTAAATAGGTATAGAACAGGGTTTTACATGACTATTTTCAAAATTTAAATACTTCAATTTCATTGGTCTATACAATTATAAGATTTGTGCGGTGGGAACTGCTACAGTTTGAGCTACTGCATAATCTCAATGGCCCCGGTCCTATAGCTACGTATGAATGCGGACGGATACGGACGCGAATCGTAACTCTAGTAACATCACTAAAAATATCTAGTTCGATTATTTAGTACCAACACTACCAGTAGTGAGCAAAAGTAACTGTTGTTTAAAACTGTAGCGCCAAACGTACCACATTTAATGTTCAAATGTCAGGTCTACAATTTATTTTTCAAATTCTCATGAATATTGCTTATTGATGAGTATGCTAATGTAAAAAAAGCTTTTGGGATGATTAATACATATCATTTATATATATTTTCTTCTTCTTCTCATATATTCAAGTACTTCCATAAAATTAAGGCCTAATTCCACTAATTGTAGTTGAAAGTCTATCAATTCTCTATCATTTGCCATCTTATAGACTGCAATAATGTAAAGGTTAGATAAGCGTTCATTATATGTGGTACGTTCGGCGCTACAGTTTTAAACAACAGTTACTTTTGCTCACTACCGGTAGTGTTGGTACTAAATAATCGAACTAGATATTTTTAGTGATGTTACTAGAGTTGCGATTCGCGTCCGTATCCGTCCGCATCCGTACGTATCTATGGGACCGGGGCCAATCAAGTACACCGTGATACCACAGCAGCACTGACGAAAGCAACACCTATAGCAGCATAGTGACTAGTTACCCATACGGCCTCTCTCTTCAGATAAGATTTAAGGATCAGAAAACCGCGCGGTATTTTGCCACAGTCTGCTGTTTCGCTCTGTTCTAATTCTGTACTAACAATACATATAGTTAAAAGCAATCTGGCAATAGCGTAGTGACATGTCGGAATCGGAACATGTAAACACAGTTGATTAGAAGAAAAAAAATATATAAATAAAAATAATGTTGATCTATAAAACTACACAAAATAACAATAACAATGTAAAAATTAATTTAGTAAATTAATAGTTACTTTCTTCTAATCAACTGTGTTTACATGTTCCGATCCCAACCTATCATATGCCAGATTGCTTTTAACTATTGTTAGTGCAGAATTGGAACAGAGCAAAACAGCGGACTGTGGCAAAATACCGCGCGGTTTTCTGACCTTGGATCTTATCTGAAGGGAGCCTAGTGATGGGCGATTATTTCAAAAGTAATCGATCGCACATAATCGATTATCAAACTCTATTACAATCAACTAATCGATTAGTGAGTTAAAATAATCGAAAATATTCGGATAATTTATTAATCGTCGGAAACATTTAAATAATTATAATTTATTCAGCGATTCAATAACAAAATTTATTGAATTTAACTATTATTATTTTCAATGTTCTACTGTACAATAATGAAATTGATTATAGGCCCAATTAGTTACAATATATTTTTTCATGGAATTTTTATTTTTTGAGTTTGAGTAAAACGAAATAGACTGAATTGATAATGCCAATATGATAATGTTCAAAACGTGATAACTTAATCACAGGTCTTTGAATAATTTCCAACGAGTTTTATCTTTCTCGTTTTGTTTATCCGTTTTGTGAGTGAATATCATTTTGTCTAAATATCTCAATATTTTCATTATTTCCAGTGATTTGATCCTCGTCTTGCACGTTGAAAAAATTCATTAGTAAAATAAAACTTGTTGAAGCTTAATGTATATTAAATTTATTTAAATTATATTCAGAATACCATAATAAAATAAATATTTATTTTACTTACTACTTCTTAAAATATGAATGATCATGTAATTTATATTAAACAGAATATTAATAATCACACATAATTACACACAAGTCAAGTATGAATAGGGTACTATGAGAAAATGTGTATTGAGAATTATGATGAGGGTTATAGAAATAATATAGCTACGTATGAATGCGGATGGATACGGACGCGAATCGCAACTCTAGTAACATCACTAAAAATATCTAGTTCGATTATTTAGTATCAACACTACCGGTAGTGAGCAAAAGTAACTGTTGTTTAAAACTGTAGCGCCGAACGTGCCACATTTAATGAACGCGCTTATCTAACCTTTACATTATTACAGTCTATAAGATGGTAAATGATAAAGAATTGATGGACTTTAAACTACAATTAGTGGAATTAGGCCGTAATTTTATGGAAGTACATGAATATATGAGAAGAAGAAGAAAATATATATAAATGATATGTATTAATCATCCCAAAAGCTTTTTTTACATTAGCATACTCATCAATAAGCAATATTCATGAGAATTTGAAAAGTAAATTGGAGACCTGACATTTGAACATTAAATGTTGTACATACATACGTTCGGCGCTACAGCTTTAAACAACAGTTACTTTTGCTCACTACCGGTAGTGTTGGTACTAAATAATCGAACTAGATATTTTTAGTGATGTTACTAGAGTTGCGATTCGCGTCCGTATCTGCCCGCATTTATACCCCAGATAACACCGATGCGAAGACATCCCGACACAAATAACATTTTAGAAAAAAAAATGATCACATCTCACGTATGTCTAATTGTACTTCTCGAAACAATAATTATTTGTTATTGTACCATTATATTTCTCATAAAAAATAAGAAATATCCTTATCGATATTTCACCTCCTATTTATTCACATAAAAGACATAATTAAACAAAAATAAATTCACAGAAACATTGTACCTTCTGTAGTCTAAATTGTACCATCAGTACAATTCTATAAATTTGTTTCTAAAAGAAATAATAGGACAATTACAAATTACCACTATTTGTTACATCTTACAAGGATGTCATCCGGAAATGCACTTTGCGCAGGCGTAGAGCTTTAAACAGCGGAAACATTTTGAAACCAACAATATTACATACATAAATTTATATAAATTCAATTGATGATTTAGTATAGATATAATTTAACTTGTCAGAAAAAATAATTTTCTTTCATCTAACTAATTATTTTTATATTATAAACCTCGAAAATCATTGACAAAGTGAAAGATAACAGCTATACCGATTTGATTTCATGCTAATGCTTACTTTATCCAGATATAGCAATTTAAGGACAACTGTACCTCATTCATCGAACATCCGACTTAATTGTACCACAATTAGTTTTTCAAACAATTAATTTGTTGCTTACTATTTATCGATTATTAATGAAGAATTTTCGATGCAGATTCGAGGTTAGGTACGTTGCGCCGACGCCGTCGGAAGCGGGGAAATTCAAAATATTGCAGGTGGAACTTTCAATGGGTTGAATTTTCGTTCAAGTATAGATATTTGGAAATAACGTTGATAGAACCACTCGCGGGCACAGTTTATTCAAATTGTATCGATCATTATCATATTATGTCTCCCGAAGTGTTGAGTAGTTTTGAATTAATTTAAATACAATGCCTAATTAGCATGTAAATTTTCATCGATCTTTTTCCTAAGTAAAATTCCAATTCTTTTTCAAACGCCTCAGTTCTCTGAAGCCCTTCAATTCGTAATTACTTCACTTAAAATTAGCATAATTATACTTGAAAGCTCTTGTATTTTAATATGTACTTATACTTGAAAGACCTGATGCTTCGAGCTCACCAGAAACAAGTTTGAGCTCTAAACTAGATGTTTTCGATCTTGCATTGAAAGATCTATGTTTATTTAATTGATGTTTGCAATATTTGTGATTTGAGCTAATACATGTGCGAAGTTGACGAGAAATGTACTAAATTGTATTACTATTTTAGAGAAGACATTAATAAATAAGCGTTCTTTTTTAACATGTAACTTTTGCTTCCAGAATCAATCATATATTTTCCTATTTAACGTTTTACTTTCTTTTGATTTTAAAATATTTAAAAAATAAAATTAATATCTCTTCATAATCTTGATAATAATTTTAAATTTACACTAGTTAGAGTTAATTGCGGTACAATTAAGTCGGATGTTCGATGAATAAGGTACAGTTGTCCTTAAATTGCTATATCTGGAAAAAGTAAGCATTAGCATGAAATCAAATCGGTGTAGCTGTTATCTTTCTCTTTGCCATTGATTTTCGAGGTTTATAATATAAAAATAATTAGTTAGATGAAAGAAAATTATTTTTTCTGATAAGTTATATTATTTCTATACTAAATCATCAATTGAATTTATATAAATTTATGTATGTAATATTGTTGGTTTCAAAATGTTTCCGCTGTTTAAAGCTCTACGCCTGCGCAAAGTGCATTTCCGGATGACATCCTTGTAAGATGTAACAAATAGTGGTAATTTGTAATTGTCCTATTATTTCTTTTAGAAACAAATTTATAGAATTGTACTGATGGTACAATTTAGACTACAGAAGGTACAATTTTTCTGTGAATTTATTTTTGTTTAATTATGTCTTTTATGTGAATAAATAGGAGGTGAAATATCGATAAGGATATTTCTTATTTTTTATGAGAAATATAATGGTACAATAACAAATAATTATTGTTTCGAGAAGTACAATTAGACATACGTGAGATGTGATCATTTTTTTTTCTAAAATGTTATTTGTGTCGGACTGTCTTCGCATCGGTCAAATTTTTTTGTTCCCTTAATTTTTGCGAGGAGTGTATTTGTACTGATAATTGATAAACATTTAGTAAAAAGTATATACTGTAACGGGGTAGACACCGTTTAATTATTTTTTTTATTCGCGCGACTTTGTTGAAAGGGCGAATGTAATCATTTATGTTCAAAACGCAATCCGGAGAGCATGAGGAAACAGGCGTCAGTTAACCAGTAAATCTAATTAACCTACAAGAAAGTGAGTGGAAGCAAAAAAGAAGTAAGCGAGTCGAAAACACTTGTTAGTAACACGAACAGAACCTTTTATTATCACTCAAATGCTACATAAGGTCGGCCCGCGCGTTTGTTTACATCGACGCTCGCTCATCGACAACACGTATTGTCGGGACGCTCGCTGCTCTTCGTTATTGGAGCCGTTACATTCACGCTTCGAATATGATAAATCGATTGTTAATCATGCAACCGCGATCGCGAGATTAAGCTGGCCAGCTTACCTTGATATTGCAGACGTTCGAAGGAAATGATAGAGTCACACACTGCGAGAAGACAGATATTGTTAGCGTCGCGGGTCGCGAATGCGCGCACACACGGCTTCGCGCTCGATGGCGAAACCTCACACACTCTGCCGGTCTCGTGGAGGGCGGCGCTTCTCCGCCGGCTCAGGTCTCTCCTTTCGTAGGCACGCAGCACCTCGTCAACTGTGATCACTCTCCTGGATCAATGGCACGGATGACCTTCGTGGGTTTTCGGTGTTGGCGGCACGTAGATCGGTAGTAGCGAAACGAAAGAGCGAACGAGCGTGATGATGGTCGGTGCTTCACTCTGACTCGATCTCTAGCTCACGTATGAGTAATCGGCGTCGTAGTTGCGGGTGAGCGTGACGATGACCAGTGCTTCACTGTCTTTCAATCGCGCGCGTTCCGTCTCCCGCGTGCCGAATTCCGTCGTTACCTTTTTCGTCCCCCGGTAGGTGCTGCCCCCGCAGGCAGCAATTAGGTTAGGTTATCAGCGCTAATTTGACGTTTACCGTCACAATACATATAATAATTTATATAAGATTATTATTGTAGTATGACTAATGATTTATATAGACTGTTGCCTACCCAGTAAATCAATAATTAATTAGTCTTCATTGTCGCTCTTATTATGTATCTTCTTATTTACTTATATTATAACATTCTTATTGAATGCAAAGACAGGACTTTTATATCTTGAATTTCCTGTGGTAGAATTAAAACTGGTATAAAAACGATGTTCAAGAGTCATCCCTTCATAAATAAATAAATAAATAAATCTACAAATAATTACTTAATAGAAGACCAACATTTCACCCCTGTGAAATATATTTATGCATAAAATTACAATAAATAGAAATCATCAGTTAGTAACATTTGTTAACAGTTATTTACAATTTATAACCATTTGTAAACGTCAGATTTTGGACAAGATAGTTATTTGCTGTTAAAAATCTGTCATTATCAAATAACAACAGATTTTTCAGTTATTAACAGTTATTTGGATTTTTATTTACCAAAAAAATTTTATTATTTCTATAAATAACTATAAATAACAGTTATCACCAATTAACTTATTAGAATAAAAAATTATTAAATATTATTTGCATTTGTTTATTGTAATTATTAATTTGCCAATACCAAACATGAAAAAAGTACTTATAGGCGAAAAAAGTTAAATAACAGTAACAATATATGATAAGTGTTTAAAATAATTCTTAGTTATCACATGTGATAACTAACTATTTATTACAGATGTAAACGATTGTTTACATTTTTGAAATTGAAATCGATTTAAAAACTGTTCATAATTGTTATTAATAACTAATTTTTTTATGGTAAAAAGTTACATTTCCGGAATTATCCATAACTGTTATACGTGTCTAAATTCTGATGTTTATAAACTATTTTAAACATCAATTAATTGCGTGCAAAAGTTTTACGCAAAAATTATTTGCAACAGGGACTATGCTCTATTTGTCAGCCCTTTATAGCTTCATATACATATATAATTAAATGTTCACCATTGATATTTTTACATATAAAAATGTCTTTATAAATAAATGATTCAAGATAAGTTAAATTTGTAAATTTCTTTTTCTTGATTATTTTTAAATCAACTATTACTCTCGAAGCGTTTAATCGATTCTAATTCTTTGATAGAGTTTTCTTCATAACTGTTTTTATACTTCATCTATAAAAAAAAGAATACCACAAAGCAAATAGTTAAAAAAATTAAGATAAATATAATTTGAAAAGAACTTATCTGATGAGATAGCCTGATGAATTTTTTGAAGTTTAATAAATTTAAACAATTAGGTGAAAACATCTGTTAATTATTTACATGCAGCAATATTACAGTAAACCATGAAAGTAGACTAAACCATTGCCAATTAGATGATATGCTCGATTGATCATTCACGCGCTTCAATGTGTTAGAGAAATCCTAGTGGCTATAGTTCGAACTAATCTTTGCTCTGTTCGAGCTAAAGGTGCCTCTCCAATACAAATATAAATCGCACGCAGCAAAGATAAGTAAAACCAAGAAATTCTGAGTGCTGCCAACTTCGAAATTCAAAATGAATTGAAAAGACGTGATTCCTATTGTACGTAGCCTCAAAAAATTGTAAATGTAAACATGAAGCCGATTGACGAATTGTTGTATGGATATGGGATATGTTGTATGAATATGGGATGGACGAATTATTATAACATAAGAGACATTCCATATGATCCCATATAACCATTTTGTTATAACTCTTCGTCAATTGGCTTCATTTTTTAATTTAAATTTTTTGAGGTTACATACAATAGGAATTATGTCTTTTCAATTCAGTTTGAATTTCGAAGTTGGCAGCATTCAGAATTTTTAGGTTTTACGCTTGCTGCATGCGATTTACGTCTGTAATTGGAGAGGCACCCTAAGCTAGTTAAAAGATATGCAGCACTCAGCAGTCATGCGGGACATAGTGTGTGCGCGCGCAAACAGAAAGACTGCTAGTTGCGGAGAGGCAGAGAGTAGGAGACAGAAAGCTGAAAGAGGTAGAACGGTGTCACGACACGATACCCTACTGTTGGCTCTGATTATCCCAGAGGCTTATTGTGATCTTTCTCGTGTGCTCTGCTCTACCTTGTGGCCACTATCTCCCCCGCTTTATCACGCTAGCCAAAGATGTTGCCACGTTTTTTCAGGCCGACCATCGCCATCGCCCAAAATGGAGTCAAACAATTCTCGAGCAGCTCCCAGGTGGGTCTATTTTTCATTGATTTGCTACTTTAATCTGTCCTACTTTAGATGTAAATATTCGTCAGTCATCTGTAAAACTCGATGACCTCCATATTTTTCTACTGTGTCCTCGACCCGCCCGATCCACTACTTACCACAATTTAGCCTCTTCTTTATTTATCTACATAATAGTTCTCTTATTTCCGTCGCGTCTTTTGTCCCAATACATGCTATATTTACGCTGAGCGTGTTATGCAACTGTTATTAATGAAATCCTTTTCTATGGCTGATTTCCTGCAAAAAAAATCTACTTTCTACTTTCATCGTGCAACCTATTGCTATAGCCGATCCAACGACCAACTTCGACTATCAACTATTTCCAACTATTTTAATAGATAGATTATTTTAAATGATAATTGATAACATTAATTGCAGCGTGATGCGAAAGTGGCAGTTATGGGTGCAAGTGGTGGCATTGGCCAGCCACTGTCACTTCTACTCAAGGAGTCTCCATTAGTTACAGAGTTATCACTCTACGATATTGTTAATACTCCTGGTGTAGCAGCTGATCTTTCTCATATAAACACTGCCTCCAAAGTCAAGGGATTCACAGGACCTGATCAGTTAAGAGATTCCCTAAAAGGTGTTCAGGTTTGTTTCATTCTACTATTTTGTTAAATTCAAGGTAAAAGGGGCTTTTCATGTTATTTATTCATTGTTTTGTTAGGTTGTTGTTATTCCTGCTGGTGTACCTCGTAAACCAGGAATGACACGAGATGATCTTTTTAACACTAATGCATCAATCGTTCGTGACCTGGCCCAAGCTGTGGCTGATGTTGCTCCAAAAGCATTCATTGCTATCATTTCCAACCCAGTCAATAGTACTGTGCCAATCGCTAGTGAAGTTTTACAAAAAGCTGGAGTATATGATCCTAACAGGATATTTGGAGTTACTACTCTTGATATTGTTAGGTCAAATGCATTTGTTGGAGAGGCAAAAGTAATTTTCAATTCAATTAATCTATCTACTATTATATCAATAGCTTCTTCAGTGGAAATTTATTTTAGGGATTAGATCCTAAAAAAGTCAATGTACCTGTTATTGGAGGACACAGTGGTATCACCATCATCCCTTTGATTTCTCAAGCAACACCTTCAGTATCTTTTCCAACAGATCAATTACAAGCTCTTACTGAAAGGATTCAGGAGGCTGGTACAGAAGTCGTCAAAGCTAAGGCTGGCACTGGTTCTGCCACTCTATCTATGGCTTATGCTGGAGCTCGATTTGCGTTTTCTCTAATTAGAGCTCTGAATGGAGAATCCAATGTGATTGAGTGTTCATATGTTAGGTCTAATGTTACAGAAGCTAAATATTTCTCAACTCCAATTTTACTGGGTGTAAGTATATAAAAGTTTACAAACATGTAAAAATTGAGTTGATTAATGTTTTCGACATTATGTTAAAATTGTTTTCACTAATTTACAGAAAAATGGAGTTGAAAAAAATCTTGGACTCGGAAAACTCAGTAAATTTGAATCAAAACTTCTAGATGCTGCTATTCCAGAGCTTAAAAAGAATATTCAAAAAGGAGAAGATTTTGTAAGTAAAAAGTAAGCGACAGTATCAAATGATATGTAAATCATTAAACAAGTACGTCTAAGATGAAAAAAAAACTAATAGTTTGGTTTTTTTAATTAGATATAATTCCATTATTGTTAATTCACAGCATGTATGGTCAATTCGAAAATCATGTAACATCTTGTAATATAAAATTGTTAATTAAATTGATTACACAGACATAGCGTACTTATTTATTTATCAAAATTACACAATGCTATAAAATAAATCCACCTCTTCATATTTTTTTATGGCAGGAAATTATATTTGTTGTAAAAAATCACAAAAATTATAATGTACAGTAAAAGTATTTGAAATAAAGCATGGTTTCTTTTCTAATCAAATCTATCGTGCACGATCGGGAGTAGGGTGGAGAAAAGACAGATTGATGATTGTCACAAAACTTATTGATTATGTTCTTATAAAAACATCCGAAAAGACAGTTGTTCTGTGAGGCCCTCGCCACATATCCGCTATGTGCGCGTACGAGGGCAGTGGTGGGAAAATGACACGATTTTGAGGTTTTCGACATGTACATGTCAGAAACTGTAAACAACGTCAAAAACCATGTCAGATTGTCAAAAACGTCAAAAACTTCCAAATACTATTGCGCATGCGCAGCAGTGTTACACCAACGTACACCCAACGTGAATTGAATCGCGACCCCCCTAGTTAGGTTGGTATGAGAATTCCGTCGTTGCATCGGAATGAAGAAACCGCGGGAAAATTCAAAAATGAAAATTCGTTTTAAGATACGATAAAAAGCTAAAACGTTACTAATTTGTTTTTAGGTTTAAAATTAATTGTTTGCCGAACAATGAATTTAGATGCATGATTATTTGATTTTAGATTTTAATTATATAATTTAAGAACGAGTGTTATACTATGGCCGATCTGAAAACCACCGTTACGGACTGAAAGTAGCACTCATACCAACCTAACTGGGGGGGGGGGGGGGTCGCGATTCAATTCACGATGGGTGTACTTTGCTATTGAAATTCTAATTTGAATATTTTTAATTCGACCTTTGATCCTTTGACGCTAAGAAGGCCCGGTGTTATTTATTTATCTCCAACAGTAAACTAACAACCTAAATGTAACAATTATCACAGTTTTTGTAAAATTAATTTTCACAATAAACACTAAACAGTAATAATAGTACTAGTACCAGGTAATTTATCATTCTTCATTTGAAAATTTCGGTTATTCACCTCAAATCTTATACCAAAGTTAAGAAGCGAATCATATTTTAGAAAAATCATATATTATTAACTGTTCAGGAATTAGTGATTTTTACTAGTTTTCTTGTTTGGATTATTTATTAAAAAGGCAGGTATATATACGATATTTTTCAATAATAATGTAGATGATCTAAAATAGTCTTTATTAAAATGTTTTGAATTCAAATTTATAATGATAATAATTTTTTTTTAGCTAATATTGATCGTAATGAATTGGACAGATTGCTTGGGCTATTTTTTTTTGGATGCAACATACCTTTCGTAATAGTCGAATCACCATTGTTTAGAAATTTCATTCAAGCCTTAAATCCAAATTACATTATTCCAAGTAAGAAGACTCTCTCCAACAGTAATCTTAATAATCGATTCAACGAGTTACATCAATCAATAGCCAATATGGGTGTAAATAATGCAGTTTTGTTAATAGACGGATGGAAAAATAAGGCGGCCAATAAACAAAATGTTGTTGCCATGCTTCGTTTAGACAACATGCAGTGAAGAAAGTACATTTTTTTGAACACCTGGAATTTCAGTACTCATCGTGAAACTGGGGAAGCTTTGTGTCAAGTGGTTGACGAATGTATTGGAATGGCAAGAGAAAAATATAATATTAATATATACGCTGTTATCAGTGACGGTGCAGCTGTGATGATTCTCATGGGTCAATTTGTTGGGATTTGGCATGTAACGTGTAATAGCCATAACGGCAATTTGTTAGCAAAAAGTGTCGTGGATAACGGATTTGCAGGAAGAGTGCATGCTTTACTAACAGATTTTAAAAGACCTGACTTAGAAGGTCACTTAGTCGAAGCTGGTGGTAATCGGATAATAACTATTGAAGAAACAAGATGGTGCAGCTATAGAGATGCATTTAGGAGGTGTCATGCTAACTTGCACTTGATGCGAAACATTGCGGATATCCCTGATGGTCTTCGTCTAATTACAAACAAAAATCGTGCTTTTCTTCTTGATCCAGAGTTAGAAAATCAATTGATATATCATACACTAATTCTTGACCCTATTTGTGAATTAACAAACACCTGCCAAAAAGCTGATTGTACAATTGCTGATGCAACAGAATTGTGGCTTCGATTAAACATCCCAGTAGTAGATGAAAATGTAGACGCAGCGATTAGAGCGAGACGAGCAACAGCTATCAACGTATATGGTCTATCAGCAAATTTTTTGCATCCGCGATATCGAGGTCAACGATTTGCAAACGATGAAGATTACGTAAATCAAGTTGAAACATTTTTTAGAGATCACCTGACACCCCAAGGTTTATTGGAATTAAATGAGTACAGGAATGGCATTGGTCTTTTTGAAAATTTATTAGCGAGAAACTATAGGTCGGCTATTATATTTTGGAGAGCTGCACAATTACACTATGCTAATTTAAGTGATTTAGCATTAAAGCTACACTTATTATGTGCTTCAACTGGACAGCTAGAACGCCTTTTTTCAGAGTGGGCATATGTCCATTCACCAAAGAGGAATCGATTAAGCGATGAAAGATCAGCTAAATTGGTCGCAATCTATTACGATACTAGATTGAATGATCAAATTATGATGAATGAATTGAACGAAAATCTAGATGAGAATTAAATATTTATGGAATATTTAAAAATGAAAAAAGAGCATAAAAAAACTGTTGAGAATTCTCAATCTTTAGAATGTTAATCTTGTCGATAAAAACTCCCGTTCACTTATTTAAGTATTATTATCCAAAGTCCGCTATTTTTTTAATAAAATAAATGTCTTACTAATTACTGGTATATTTATGATAAATCATTAGGAGGTACATGCAATTCGTAAATTTATAAAGATAATATGATGAAATTTGTAGGTTTCGATAAATAATTATTTTAAATTATTGCTTTTGTCAACGTTAGAAGGAAAAAAATATTTTATGTTGTTTCTCACTAATAAATTGTCACTTTCGACAATATATAAACGTTTATTTCGATAAATACTGTTTAAATTGGCAATAAATAAATCTTATTTATTTTCTTATTACCTCAATTCATATATAAGTAAGAATGAAGATTCAACACATTTGTATAAAAAACTGTTATTTTTTATTCAGTCCTTATAAACGCGTACATATAGTTATTAAATCATTTCTTTGATAACATTAATAGCAAAACATTGTTTTTCTTAACTTACTTTATTCTATTTGTTATAAATATATTTATTATAAAACTGTTATTTTTTATTCAGTCCTTATAAACGCGTACATACAGTTATTAAATCATTTCTTTGATAACATTAATAGCAAAACATTGTTTTTCTTAACTTATTTTATTCTACTCTACTGGAGTCTTGAATCTCAGAAACTGATATACATATAGATATATGTATATTAATACAAAACGAATACTAGTCATCATTGCAATTTAACAGATAAAATAATTCCGTTACCATTTTTTCTTGTTCACTGTTTAAATTTTTTTGTAAATTAAATTCCAAATCTTTGTGCAAAGTAAAAGCTGGAAGGGTTACTATTTTTAAAGAAAATCGAGCAAACTTATAGTGCTCAATTTCAACAACTTTATAAAAAGTATAAGGACTACTGTAATTTTTAGCCAGCAAAGTCCCCATCAATCCCTCTTTCTCTCTGTAGATGATCCAGCTTCTTATTTCGATTTCACTTAGCTCCGTTATAAAAAATTTTGTACCTTTAGTTTACAATCAGGTATCAATATGTCTAAATCAATACCCTGATATGCTGGGTGTAGAAAATGTGCCGCTATATGTATAGGTGCAGTATTTTGTTTATGTAATTTTTCACTAAGGTTTAACACTCTAAATCTTTACACAAAATATATAATTTTATAAAATCATTCGTTAGGTCAGCAATAGTGTATGAACTTTTTTGCTGAAAATGTGACATTTTATATAAAATTTCTACCGCATTTATAACTTTTTTAAGTTGCATTCAAACTCATTTCTTATGACTGAAATAATGACATCTTTATCTTCAAAAATAAATTGGTTTTCCATAACACTCTCTCGCAAAATACTTAAATTATCACATACAGGTTTCACTTTGGCAAAAAAATCTTCAAAACATAATACATCGTTGAGTGCAACCATTTTTTTGCCTCCTCGCATCAGTATTACGTCTTTCTTGGCATGCTCATTAAATTCTTTTATTACTTTTTCTAGTTCTACACGAATTTGTGGATAAAAAATTATATATAATAACTCTATGATAGCTCCGGACATACATTGGAGATACCAGTAGTCATATCCGTTATTACTTACAGATATTTTTTTTCCTTCTTCAGCATTTGACACAACAACATTAGCTTCAGATCCATAAGATTCTTTCATTTTCTTAGAGCAAAGAAATATAAATTCTTCAAGAGTGTATATTGATACATCACTTTTTTCAATGAGTAAATATTGATTCTGTGTTGTTAGTGTCATACTAATATAAGAGCCATCGGATTGTTGTGTTATTAATAAAATACCGTTACTATTATTACAAAAAGTGTGCTTGATGTTATTGTACAGCGATGGCAGATATTCATCAACAAGTTTTTTTGACGAGGCAGGTGTAAACGCTGGACGCAAGATCTGACAAAACTTTCGAAAATGTTGATTATTTACTATCTTAAACGAACTACCAGTTTCAATAACTAAGGATAATAACTCTTGATTAGCTCTAGCAATTGATTTCTCATCTATATTATCTACAAAAGACGTTACATTCCTCTTCTTTGAAGGTTTGATAACAAGAGACGGCGTTTTATTTTTCTAGAAAAAATATAGAATATATATTTATTCCATTTCAATAATTAATTAGAATGTATTAATCTTTATTCAAGTATATTTTTACCATTAAAGGAATTGTGGCTTCAGGAATAAACCTTGCGGGCCCCGGGCTTTCATTAGTTTCAGCCGATTCCGTGGAATTTTCGTCAAAACTGCTTCGGTTTTTGCGCT